ACAGAACACCGAGAGCCCCGGGGAGGGCGCAGCCGGTGCCGCCCGCCCGGTCCCGCCCGCGCGGTGCCCCCCCGGCGCCACCGCCCCCCGGCCGGGACGCGGTTCCCCCTCCTCACACAGGAGCCGCCGCCGCCATTTTGAACCCGTCAGAGCCTCACATACACACCGACGCCGCGCGCACGCGCTGCACGCACGGACCCCCCCCAAACCCGAGCGCCGCGCATGCGCGTCACTCTCTCCCGCCCGGCCCCGCCCCGCGCGCGCGCGGCTCGGGGAGGCCACGCCCACCAACCGCTAGACCACGCCCCTCAATGTGACCACGCCCCCTCCACCGCGTGGCCACGCCCCTGGGGTGGAGAGGCCGAGCCCCGCTGGGATTTTGGGGGGTTCGTAGCCGAACGCGCCCCGCCGTGGGGTCCCTCGGTGTCCCCCAGGGCTTCGCGGCTGCCTGCACCCCTGTACACGCCTGCATGGGGGTCTGGATGCAGAGATTTGTATCTAATTCCGCACACCTACATGCCGCTATACACATACATGTGTACATACAGCCGCCTAGTTATATACCATAGATACTAACAATACAGTTATAAACTGTATAGAGTTATAGTTATAAATTAGCTATATACAGTGATATATATAATATATGGGAAGTTATAAACTATGCAGTTATATATCCATTATATATATAAATATAAAAGATRTATAACTATATGTGTAGTTATAAACCATACCCTTACAGACCTGCATTTGCAGCACACACCTGGACACAGCTGTACACTCACTCACACACACCCCAGCCCAAAATCAGCAGGTGACCCCATCCCGGTGGCCTCCCATCCCCTCGGACCATTGCGGGACCCCATGTCCCCAATGCSCGTCCCTTGTCCCCGACGCCCACCCCTGGCGCCGATGGCTACCCGGAGACCCTGACATCCCCAGGCCGTGCCGGGACTGCTCCTGCCCCAGGAACCGTGTCACGCTGACGGGTGTTGTGTCACTTTAATGGCAGAAGATCACCCCGCGGTCACCCTCCGGTGCTGGCCTGCCAGCTGGAAGGGGAGCCCCCAAATCAGTTCCCTGCTCCCAGAGCTCGGCTGGCAGAGGACGCTGGGATTCAAGTGGGTCAGGGACAGGACGCGGGGATCCAGGTGCGACAGTTTCTTCCTGCCAGGGATGCTTTCCTGCTGGCACCGCATGGTGACCAGCGGTGCCAGTCCCAGGACAGGAGGGTGGCAGCTGTGTGCTGGTGGCAGCGGCAGAGGTGTGGCAGCAGCCGCGGTGCGGTCGGAGCCTGGGGACAGCAGGAGATCCCGGGGGGGCAGTGCTGAGCCGGGGGGCTCAGACGAGCACACAGCCCCTCCTGGGTCTCCCCTTGCGCTGCCTCCGGCGGGCGGCACTGATGGCGGCACCGCAGGCTGTCACAAAGATGTTCCCGACGTTCTCCTGGTACCTGGCTGAGCATTCCATGTAGGACACGGCGCGGACCTGCCGGGCCATGGCCTCTCCCTGCGGGGACACACAGAGTCAGAAACCCCCCGGGACCCCGGCTGTCACACACGCGTTCTGAGGAGCAACCCCGTCCCCTCCCGTCCTGTCCCACTGGGAGGTGACACCCACCTGCTGGCGGGAGACGAGCTCCATCCGTCCGTCCTTCAACTTCCGCAGCAACTCCTGGTCCTGCCGCAGGTCTGTCTTGCAGCCCACCAGCAGCACCGGGACCCCCTTGCAGAAGTGGTTCACCTCCGGGTACCACTGCGCGGGGACATGTCASMRAGGGATGGGCACRTGTCACCCAGGGATGGGKACAGGGGACAGGCRGYASCCCCGGGGTTGTGTTACCTTGGTTAGGATGTTGTCAAAGCTATTGGAGTCAGTGACATCAAAGCACATGAGGACAACATTGGCATCTGAGTAGGACAGAGGGCGAAGCCTGTCATAATCTTCCTGTCCTGCCGGGAGGTAGGAGAAGGAAACCATTACACGCCAGCCTGGGACCACGAAAGTGACATCCGTGGGCATGGCTGTGGGTTAACCCTCGCTCTCCCATGGCCATTGCATGGGTTCACCCCTCCAAGGCATGGCCCACAGGTGTGGCACACCCCAAAACCCTCGGGTGGGAGGGTGGGAGCACAACTGCCTGTCCCGTGCCCTCCTGTCCCACCTGCTGTGTCCCACAGGTGGATCTTCACCGGCTTGCCGCCAAGCTGGAGGGATGCTGTGTACTTCTCAAACACGGTGGGGACATAGACCTGGCAGGGGACAGGGAGAGCGTGAGACAGGTCACACAGGCAGCCGTGGGGGGCAATGGCAGAGGGGACCCCAATGGGCGCAGGGCAGGGCATGGGGAAGGAAGCAGCGGGTGGGAGATGGTAGTGCCTCCCTGGGGAATGGGAACGGTCCTTTTCCCCCATCCCGGGGCACCATAAAGCCTCATAGGACCTGGGGATTCAGGACAGGGGTTCTGGGGTCTCTGTGGCTGCCCCCCTCCGTGCGCTCCCTCAGTCCCACATGTGCCCTCGCTGAGGGACAAATCCTGCTCCCCACCCTGTGACCCCCTGAGCGAGGCAGAGGTACCACAGGCCCCCATCAACCCCAGGCTGGGCCACCCTCTGCCCTCTTGTCCCCATGTCCCACTTCAAATGGCCCCGCTGCTGCCACCGTGTCCGTCCCTTAGGTCGTCCAGCGCCCTTTGCCCCTGTCACCGCTCCCGCACGGGGACAGCCACCCGCGCACCCMCCAGGGGACAGGGATCCCGGTACCTTGGGGAAGTCCCCTCTGGCGAAGGCCACCAGCAGTGACGTCTTCCCGCAGCCGCCGTCCCCCACGATGACAGCCTTGATCTCTGTTTCGGGGGCTCCTGGGCTCTGCCCCCCGCGCTCCCGCTGCATGGGGGTGTCCAGTGGGGCCACGGAGCCCGTGTGGCCGCGGCGGAGACAGGGATGGGGACAGGGACAGGGACAGGGAGGCGGGAGGCACCCACCCGCTCCAGGGTGCGGCTGTCACCCGCCCGCCGGGCCCGCCCTCGGCGGTGGTGGTGACAGCGGCCGGGACACACGTACGGGTGTCCTGGCACACAGGTGACCTTCTCCCGGCAGGTCCTGGCKGTGCACAAGCGTCACACTGCCACCTGCATGTCCTGCCTGCGTGTGTGGTGCTCCCTCACACGCCTGCCCGCTGCCTCCGGGCATCCCCATCCCGCTCCCGACCCTACTCCCCATCCCAATCCCGCTCCCCTGCACAGCTCATCCCCCCACCCCCTGGGATGGGATCCCTGTGCCCTCCCCGACACCCCATTCCCGCCTCCGAGCCTGGGATTTATTGCCCTGAGCATCCGCGGGAGGCAAAGTCCAGGGGTGGAGGGAGGCACAGGGGGGTGACTCACTGCCCTGGCCCCGGTGTCACTGTCACACCCGTGCTGTGCCATGCTGAGCCCTGCCCTGCCACGAATTTCTGTCCCCAGCACCCAGCTCAGCAGGACCCGGGTGAGGGGGCAGCCACCAGCCTCCTGGTTTTTCCTAGGGATCCCAAAACAGGTGGGACAGGCTGTGACACCCTGCTTTRCTCGGGGACATGCCATCCCAGCACTGATGTCTCCCATCACCCTGTCTGGATRTCCCCAAGTTCCTCTCCCCTTCAGCTGGTGCCCTCTTCTGCCACCCCAAAGCTTTGGTGGTTAATTGGTGCTTCTGGTGTAGGGGTGCAGGGAGGGATGTGGGGTCACTGTCATCGCCTCATCTACCACCAGCCTCTCCAGGCTCTCTCAGTGGCTACCAGGCACTCCAGGAGGGCTCTGGAGCCCCCAGACCCTCTGGGGCGAGTGATGGCTAAGGCACCAAATTCCAAATTCTCACCCAGGCCTGATGCAGGATGGAGTCGGAGGAGAGGGATTCTCATGCTGGGAGGCTGGGAGGCAAATGTGCGCAGTAATGAACAGTCTCAGGAGGATGCCAGCACCGGGGCAGGATGGGGAGAGGAGGCTGCAGCACCATCAAACAATTACGAAGGTGGTAATTACCAGTTTAATGAAGTCTCAGGTTGAATCCTAAAAGCATCAAGATTCTTTCAAAGTRATATGTAACTGCTGCAGTGTTTGTCCTCTGGGGTATTCGCTCGGACAAAACATTTCCTTTCCCACAAGACCAACAGAATTTTGACGGGAGAAGAGGCAGCCTATGTGCAACTGCCCAGTGCTCTCGGTGCCWGACCTGTGACTGTGCAGAAACGCCCCAAAAAGCAGCTTTATTTGGGAAAAGACAGCCTGCTCTGAGCTTCTGAGGGTGCGGAGAGCCCAGYTTTCCTCATCGGAGAAGATTGTGGAGAGGAACACCAGAGGAGGGAGCGTGCCCTGCTTGGACACAGCCCCAAGGAAAGGTAGGGGGTTGGCACCAGAGTGCGGCCCTAGGCACTGCTCGTGTCTCCCTAGATATCCCCAAAGCCCTTCTTACTGCTCCCTCAGATGTCCTCAGTCGGGATGACTGSATTGATCCAACCCTCCCTCCACCCTCCCCTCACCCCCAGCCCTGCCATGGTCCCCCTGTCCTCAGCCCTGCTGTGCCACATCCCTTGGGGTCCCCTCTCTCTGTCACATCCCTTGGGGTCCCACTAACACCCTGTCCGCTCTGAACACAGCTGGGAATCGCATCCCCTCGCCCACCATGGAGCTGAAGCAGATGTCCCCACCTCCCTCATCTCCCATGATGGACACTGAAGGAGACGATCCCTGTGGGATCAACGCCATAGATGTGGCCATAGACGGTGTCACGCTGCTCGTCTGCCTCTGTGGGCTGGTTGGGAATGTGGCTGTCCTCTGGCTCCTGGGATTCCGCATCCGCAGGAACCCCATCACCGTCTACATCCTCAACCTGGCTGTGGCTGACTTCACCCTCCTCCTCTTCATGGTGCCCACCTCTGTGCTCTACCTGCTGGATAATGTGTCCTGCTCCCCTGCTGTGCCCCTGCACTACCTGAGGCCCCTTTTCTTGCTGTTGCTGTTCTCCTACGACATGGGGCTGTACCTGCTGGCGGCCATCAGCATCGAGAGGTGTGCCTCGGTTCTCTTCCCCCTCTGGTACCGCTGCCACCGCCCCCAGCACCAGTCGTGGGTGGTATGTGCCCTGCTCTGGGTCCTCTCCATCACTGTCATGGCCACGGTGACTTCCCTGTGCCTGTCACCCAAGCACAAGCACRAGCACTGCCAGGTGGCTCTCATCTMCATGTACGCCCTCAMCTTSKTCATCTTTGCYYYACCCATGGTCATCTCCAATGTAATCCTCTTCATCAAGGTCCAGTGTGGCTCCAAGAGACAKCAGCCCAAGAGGCTCTACATCGTTATCTTCCTCACTGTGCTCTTCTTCCTCACCTTTGGAGTGCCCCTCAGCYTCTGCWATTTCCKGCAGCAGCTCACTGGCACCCCTRTGTCCTCCSAGGTKGTTTTCCTGCTCGCCTGCATCAACAGCAGCATCAACCCCTTCATCTACTTCTTGGTGGGGAGCTGCAGGAGGCACTGCTCCGTGGTGTCCTTCCAGATCGCCTTGCAGAGGGTCTTTGAGGAGACAGGGATCACCACATCCTCCAGCTGAGAGGCTCCTGTAGTCCCACCKGCTGTGCTGCCCACGTCAGCTTCATGCTCAGCTTGTGCCAGGTCACCCTCCTGCAGCTGTGTGTCAGGATGCATCCCATCCCTTATCCCATCCCATTGATCCATGTTGTATCTCATCATCTCACCCATCCTCATCCCATCCCCATCCCTACCCCTAACCTGATTCCCATCCCATCCTGAACCTATGATGTGCCCTTCCTGGTACCCATCCTCTCCCTTCTCTTCTCATCCCCATCCCCATCCCATCCACAACTGCATCCCCATTCTATCCCTATCCCATGCCATGCCATGCCATGCCATGCCATGCCATCCCATCCCGCAGGTTTCTCAGCTGGCGGCTGCTCCTCGGCTGCAAGCGCGGCCCGTCAGGCTCTGCTGCTCTCCAGTGGGCACATTTGGGATCGCCGGCATCCAGACCCCCCTGCGACCCGCTCCAGACCCCTCCAGACCCCTTCTAACATCCCCCAAAGCCCCTCGGGGCCGCTTTTGTCCCCGACAGCCCCGCTTCTGCCCCGCTCCACCCCAGACCCCCAGCAGTGTMTTTGGTCCTGCTGGCCACACTCCTCTGCCCTAATAAACGCTGGATGCACCCTTCTGCCGTCTCATGTTCTTTTCCAAGGGATGTGTGGGGGCTGGACACCGCAGGTAAAGCTCTGGAGGGGGGCGGGGGGCTTTCCAGAGGAACCGTCCCTGAAAACCGTCTGGGGTGAGCAACCGATGGCCAGGGATTGCAGCTTCAGACACGGGGCTGGGAGGGATGGGATGGATGGGAGAGGGGTGGGCTCCATGGGGGAGTGGGATGGGAGGCTGTGGGGTGAGTTTGGGATGTGGTGGGACTCGTGGCAATGCGTAGGATCTGGTGGGGCTGGAGGAAAGGTGTGGGATGTGGTGGGGACGGTTACTTCAGAGAAGCCACAGGGAGGGGGTGATGCCCCATGGAAGCCATGGTGACAAACACAGGTGTCACCCTGCTCCTGGAAGGGGGTGGCCGTGCTGAGGAGCACRGACTGCCCTTCCCTKGCAGCTGCACCATCCSAGCCTGCTGASRGAGAAACTGAAACAATGGGAGAGGGRGAATTCCTGAAGGYAAARASTSCTTTRCACYTGGCKMAMAACAMTGGAAWTARAAGATATTGTRGGAGATGTTTGCTGTGACACTCCCAGAGCAGCCAGCGGGGAATGCTGAGCCCCTGGGCCATCCTGTCCATGCCGGCTGTGCCRCTGCCATCCCAGCTCTGGGCACTGGGGATCATGTTTGCTGCAGGGAGCACAAGCCATGGCTGTGTCCCCTCCCTCCACCCCCATTCCCGGCTGGCAGCAGGAGCCAGAGGAAGGCGGCAAGCGCTGGCAGACGGGGCCAAGGCAGCTCAGGGTTCACGATGCTCTTTATTGATATCAGACCGSAGTGGGGTACAGGAACCAGGTGTCAGGCGTTTTTTTGGGATCACAGCCATGTTGGGAAGGTTCTCTTTGGGCGGAGAGTGTTCTGGGACCCATGAGGAAAAAGGAAAGCCATGCTCCAATGTGCTGCTTGCAGGCTCAGACCACCGTGTCTGTGCTGGCATCGGTGCTGCTGGCGGTGTTTTCTTCTGGCTCCCCCAAAACCCTCTGGAGGGAGAGCCGTGGGGACCCCACAGAGCAGGGCCTCCCACAGCTCCCCACGGAGAAGTAGATGACGAATTTGATGGTGCAGTGGATGCAGGTGAGCAGGAAAATAATCTCGGTGTACAGAGAGTTCACTGGCAGACGGTGGGAAATGCAGAGGTATGGAGGCAGAGCAAAGAGCACCATGAGGAAGACAGTGATGTCGAGCCTCTTGTGTTTCTGCTGCTGCTGGGAAGCACACTTGGACTTACAGAAGAGGGATATGCTGGACATGACCATGGAGGAAGCCCAGAAGAGAAAGCTTATGTAATGCATGATGCTGGAAATCATACGGAACGCATCACTCTCCGGGTTCAGGAACAGCGAAGTCAGCGTGGGAATGACAGCGATGGAGATGGCTCCTTGCATGGCACTCACCACCATCGACTGGTGCTGGGAACGCTGGCAGTGGCAGCGGAGAGGGCAGAAGATGGACCTGCACCTGTTGAAGCTGATGGCTGTGAGCAGGTACAGCCCCAGGTCGTAGAAGAACAGAAACAGCTGCTCAAGCAACGCTGCATACTTCATGGGCATGTTACGGAAGCAGGGTATCTCCCTCACCAGGAGGGTGCCAATGATGATGAGGAGGAGAAAAGCCGAGTCAGTGATGGCCATGTGGAAGATGTAGACAGTGATGGGTTTGCTGCGGCTGGAGAATCCAAGGAGGCAGAGGACAACCCCGTTCCCAGCCAGACCACAGAGGCAGACGAGCAATGTGACAAGTGACATGGTCACCTTAGCGTCATCCAACTTACATGGATCATATCTTTCAGTGGTTGAGTTGGGCAGTGGAGACACAGTGCTCATGTTCATGGATGGACAGTGGGCAGGCAGTGGGATGTGTCACCCAGCTGTGGTCACAGTGGATGGGCAGTCAGTGCTCAGAGAATCCCAGGATGGAGCATGCAGCTCCTCAGCAGCTCCCTGCAGTGGGAAGGATTCAGTGGAGAGAAGTGAGATGTGCAGGGGAGGAGAGCGGTGGAAATGGTGGTGTGGGAGAGGGAGGTGGGAGGGTTGGGATGTTCAGCAGGAGATGCAGAAGGGAAGCTCAGGGCAGAGGAGAGAGGAGCTGGGGAGGGCACTGCAGTCACTGGGAGAGGGTGGCAGGAACAGAGCAGCTGCTGAGGAGAGGAAGGAGGGGCAGGGATGAAGGAAAAGATTGCACTGACCTGTTGAGTGTGGGGCAGCAGCAGGCAAAGGGTGTCTGTCCGGATCAGCGGTGCTTCCTGGTACCTCTTGCTTGTTTTGTATCCTTATCCTGAAGTGGATCCTCCAAGGTCCATAACACGAAGAAGAATATCGATCTGCTGTGCTGGTGTTGCTCTCTGAGACTCAGCAGAGTCAGAAATTGCATCTTTGGCTTCATCAGAACTCCACTTCCTTGGGATTGTTTACCTTTCTTTTTTTTTTTTTTTTTTT